TTTAAATAAAGGGTTGATTTTTTTAATTAAAGGGTGACAAACGAGCACACAGTCCAACTGATGGTGAGTGGATGAAGTGGCCCATAGACGTCTACATTTATCCTTGATTGAAAATCAAAACGCAGATGCGTTGTCAGCCCTGAGGACTAAGATGGACTGCCTCGTTTCCAGTAAAATAGGGTCTTCAGATCTCTACTCTCACTATACAAAACACAACAGTATTAAGCTGCTATTTTACGCTGGTATTCTACAACAGTATTAAGCTGCTATTTTACGCTGGTATTCTGTGAGAGCGTGGTCTTTCCCCGGTCGAGCCGACCCATTCGTGTTACAACTATAATTAATATAGCTGCAGCGTGACTCTAACACGTATAAAAAGTCTGAGTTCGTAATTCATACTTGGGGCGATGTATTAAAACAAAATCCCAGAAAATAGACCTGCAAAAATTCAAAAATTTTAACTAAGCTTATATAAAAATTATTTAACTAATATTAAAGAGTTTATGGATGTTAATGGTCCCTAGGAAAAGTGATCGCTATCAAGCTATTTCTAATTTCTTGTGTGTTGTTAGCTGTGTAAGATACATGATTCATCATTCATCATTCCAGCCCTTCACAAGTCCACTGCTAAACATAGGCCTCCGCCAAGTAATGCCAAAAACCCCGGTCCTAAGACACCTGCATCCATCGACTTCTTGATTATCTTACCAGGTCGTCACTCCGTCTAGTGGGGGGTCAACTTTTTCCCCATCGGTTATCAGTTCTTCAAGCTATATGACGGGCCCATTGCCACTTCAGCTTACTAATCCGTTGGACTATGTCGGTCACTCTGATGCTACTGAGGATATCCTCATTTCTGAGTTTATCACGCAGAGCAGCCCGAGCATAGCCCGCTCCATAGCTCTTTGAGCGACCTTGAGCGTCCTCATACGGCCAGCAGTGAAGCTCCACGTCTCAGTTAAATAGGTCATCACTGGCAACACGCACTGTTTGTACAATCTAGTTTTCCGAGTTTGAGGTGTACCTGACGAGATGTGTCGTAATTTCCCGAACGCTGCTCAGCCGAATTGAATCCGTCGATTGACCTGTCGGTCGAAGTTGGACTTACCTAGTCGGACTATTTGTCCCATAGGTGTGACATGGACATTGAACATGATCTTAGTTTTGTCCATGTTCATCTTAAGACCTATCCGTTGGGAGACACCATTGAGATCATTGAGCATAGTGCTTAGGTCCTCCAGCGATTCTGCCATAAGGACTATATCGTCGTCAAATCGAAGGTGAGTGATATACTCTCCATTGTTGTTAATACCCTGTCCTTTCCAGTGCAGTAGCTTGAAAACATCTTCCAATGAAGAGTTTCGGGGACATAACGTCACCCTGTCTTACACCTCTCTGCAATTGGATAGGTTTCAAACTCTGGTTTTGTACTCGGAAAAACGTCGTAGCTCTACTGTACAAGCACTTCAGCTCTTCGATATACCGACCATGAAATTGGCACCGCTGAAGAGACTGTAGCACCACCCAAATTTCGACGGAATCAAAGGCTTTCTCAATGTCCACATACGCCGGGCAAAGGTGCAGATTGTACTCTTCGATCTTCTGTACAATCTGCCGCAGGGTATGTATGTGGTCTATGGTACTGAAGCCTTTTCGGAAACCGGTTTGTTCGGGAGGCTGGAAGTTGTCGAGTCTGCGTGAGAGACGATACGTAATGAGTCTCGAAAACAGCACTTAGACGCGGCTCAGAAGGGAAATCGGTCGCAAACCAAGAAAACCCCCTCCTGCCCTTGTGCCAGAGAGCCATTTTAATCTTGCTCAGACTGACGTCCGGGATATCATCGGAATAGTGTCGGATAGGACTTGCTCTTGGATCGTTACTCATACTTGCGTGTGGCTCCAACGATGATGTGTACAGCTGCCCATAGAACTTCTCAATCTCACACAAAATCTCGGGTGTCCCGGAAACGATGCTACCACATTTAGTCTTCAGCTTTGACAGTTGGTTCTTTCTAGCAGACAGATCTCTGGCAAAGACTTTGGAGCTCTGGTTCAGCTCGATCGCTTCTTCAACACGAGCAGTATTAAAGTTGCGTAAGTCCCGCCACATGCATTTGGAGATCTGTTCAGTTGCCTGTATGCTGTCAAATCTGCTGATGATTGCAGTCTCATCTCCCGTCTAACAGCCATGAGTTAAGAGTGTGATCGGAGAGTTTTTGTGTTCTTCTGCGGCGGGTCTTGTAGAACTTAGCTCCGACCACATGGACAGTTTCCATGATCATGTCATCCATATCATCTACTGCATTGTAATCTTCTAGGCACCGTTAACTTTAGCACGAGGAGATAACTTCATAACAAGACCTCTCAACTTAAGGTTCAGGTCATCCCTCTAACCATTCGGTGATCGCTGCCAGTTTTTACCTTTGCCATTACTGAGACATCATTAAAAAGTTTCCATCTAGTCATCATAATGAAGTGAATCTCATTTTTTGTCGAGTTGTCCGGGCTCGAACAGGTCCACTTTCTGTGGGGCCGCTTCTGAAAGAGAGAGTTCATCATAAAGAGTCCCTTTTTCTCCATGAATTCGGCCAGCTGCTGGCCCCTTGAGTTCCGTTGCCCTATCCCAAATTTCCCTACCTTCAACTCACCGTTCTTTCTTGTGCTTAGTTTTGCGTTGAAGTCTCCCTTTAACACCATATAGTGAGATTTGGAGGAATGCATGGCTCTAGAAATATCATCATACATTTGCTCCACCTCCTTATCGGGGTGTTCAGACGTTGGTATGCAACCCTTGTCAACACAATCCCAAACTTTACAATGTTGTTAACGAGAGACTTGTGGACGATAAATCGAACACCTCCTTGAGACAGATGGTCTCCCTCCCGGTGATAGAACAAGTTGCCGGATTCGAGAATCACCGTGTCCTCCCCCTCTCTTCGAACATCGATAATCCTATAATATTCCAGCGCAGCTTGTCTATCTCTTCTTCCGGCTCCAGGATCTTCTCATCAATCCTCAGGGTGCGTGCGTTATATGTTGCCAGGTCAAGTCGTCGTATGTGGCAACCGAACCTCCACCGGAGATTCATATCACCCCCTGCCCCGCCGTTACCATGGTCGCCACCGTAGCCAGGAATAGCGGGGCCACCGGTGACTGGGGGCCATTTCTTCTACATCACTATTATCGGGGTATATTGCCATAGTTGCCTCGCTTGATGAGCGGGTTGGCAACCGCAGTTTATTTGTACAGTTGCTACTATTAGGAAGATATTGCTGCCCATCTCCTGCCTGTTTCCCTCTGTCACCTTTTACGACACCCACGGGAATATATGGGGTAGTGGATATTCTGAACCACCACTACACGGCAGACATACATGATTGTAAGCTGTTAATTTAAAAAAAAGCTCCGCTTGGTTTCTTGCTAGTTCTTCCCAGGACAGAGGGTTTTACCGAACCAGTGTTTAATAAAAAAAGTGTCCTTTAATAAGTATTATTTATAATCTATAATGAAAAAAAAGTTTCTGTTTCTGTTTCGGCTACATCATAACCTAACGTCAGGTAGAATAATAATCAAGCACTGTTTTAGGACAGTTAAATAAAGTTCTCTAGCAACTATTGGTGGATGGGAGTGTTAAGATCGAAAGAGTTTCTTTTTGGTTCACCTCAGAGTTATTTTAATGAAACATTAGTAGAATAAGACTGTGCCGTTTTTATTTATTATTTATAACGTTTTTCGTCTAAGTTTAACTTGCATGGTAACTTAGTGTATAGTGTCGGATCGGTGTTGCATCTTGAGTCAGACAATGCAAATCCTTGTAATTTTTTGATCAAGAAGGGGTAATATCATTGCTCAATGATTATACGATGTATTAGATCATGCCTATTGCCATTGTCAGGTCATTACTGCCTTAATCATACGATGATCATAAAATGATCTGTGAATAGTCAATACTGATAGTGGTTGGTAAGTTGTAACACTAGTGATAAAACTGTTTATCGATACATATTCCTCAGACGAAATGTCTTATTAATCGCATTACTGACCATCCGCTAAATTCCACCTTGGTGAGTATCGTTTTGTGCATGCATTCTTATCCTATCACTAAGTATTTTTTTTAAAGTGTAAATTCGGTATCTGTTGCCACTGATGATCTACAGATCTCAGATGCGGACCTTCGCTGCTTGCTGCATAAGAAAGGTGATTAAAAGAGCTGTAAAGCAGTTTATGTACCTATATTATAGAAACCATTATAAGGATAATTATAGTAGAACACGATGAGAAGGAAAGGCTTTTAATTTGCAGTCTCAAACTAGATTATGTGACCGCTAATAGATGAAGTTTTATTTATTTAATAGATGAAGTTATGGCCTAGTGAAACATGTAGGTAGTTATTGCTACTGCTGTTGGCGTTTGGTTGAAAGTGCTTTGTAAAAATCTGCTGGTCATACGTAATGATGACCAAATAGGTGAAGTGTTACTTTTTGATATATATCTTGATAACTATAATTAATATACATAATTGTCACAGTTTCACGATCACGCTTGGATAAAATTGTCTATAGAATCATGCAACTGCCCTTGTGTAAATATAGGTACATAACATTTTTACTAAAATTATGTTAAAAGGTTTCCTAGAAGGATTAATAAGAACCCAAAAGTTTAAACAGCTTTAGTATTATATTTTGGGATACATATTTACAAAAGTTTTACCAGATACATTACTTTAATGTACAAGTTTTATATAAAATAGGAGTATATTTATATACTTGGTATTTTCTTGTTTATGTACAGAGTAAATTTTAGGAAATTTATAAATACGTTACATATGTAATCACAATTATCAGGCTCGTTTGAATCTTCTACTAATTGTTTTAAGAGTGGTTTTAAACATTGTAAAAGATAAACCTTGCTGTACGTAAATAACATTATTTGAAAAATTATAAAATTTACTACCTATTTAAATATCGATCTACTTATCTACAAATAAAGTGAGCTACTTATTAGGCACGATTTCGACAGTCAGTGGAGCGCGATGAGGCGCAGGCGGGCGCTTTGATGAGCGATGGTGTAGTAACACCAGTGATAGATACCACCGCTTCCATACCCGCACTTTGACTAGAGATTATCTGCTTTGCAGATGGCGTGGGCCAGGACTGTTCCTTCGGGCCAAAATTTGACGATGACATTTCTGTTCTAGATTCTTCTTCGTTGTTTAATTCGTTAGTCGACTGTTTTTTAAGCTTTGTAAATTTAACACTGTCTTGGGTTACTAGAACGGCAAGCGGAGGTATTGGAGGTAAATATGCATGAGGTTCATAATTGTCATCCACATAATCTTCAGGATTCCAAGCTGCTGTTGTAGTTGTTGTAGTAGGTGGAGTAGATGAAATCGTGGTTGTTGTTGCTCTTGAAGTGACTGGAGAAAGTGTTGGTTTTAAACTAGTTTTAGAAATTAAATTAGTTGGCACGGTCGCGGTTGCAGGTATTGTAAATATTTTTCTATGTTTGTTGGATCTTGTTTTCCGTCGTTTATTTAATTTTGGCACATCAAGAAAGAAGGGGTCGAAAATAAGATCTGATTCTTTATAATCATCGTAATTTATTGCTACTATCGGTTTTACTGCACTGACTACGTTACCGACTGTATAGTTCAATTTTTTGCCATTGCTATCACTAACCGAAGCACTGGCGGTAACGATAACTCGTGGAGGACTTTTCAGTTTAATAGGAGGTCGTTCTGTTACGGTGGGCGGTGCTACAGATCGAGCGATGGGTGGTGTTTCTTTTTCAGATGTAAATTCGTCGCTTCGTTTTCGATCGTAATAAAATGGATTAAATGGTAGAGTATGTTGAGGAGGTAATGCTGAAGGATAAGTTTGTGGACGATGTTTCACAGAAGTTTCGTGCCTCTCAGAAGGCTGAGAAGAAGGTCCTGGACGCAGAATTTGGTCTCGTGGGTCAAGAGTAGTGGCACGAAATGGTTGTGGCCTTTGCACAAATGGAGTTGGACGAGATACAGGTCGCGGCGCTGTTCTTGACGATTCATACTGAAAGTGATCAAATTGTTGTGGTGGTGCATGCGTGATAAAAACTCCGTCGGCGGGACGAAAACTTTGACGTTGGAAAGAGATGGCTTCTGATCCTGGTCCACGATGTCTATAAATAAATTCTTGAGGCGATAATAGCGATGGATCAATAGTAGTCAAAGGGAGAGCGGGTAGAGGAGACGAGGTATCTATATTGGGGGCAAGTGAAGATACTGTGGGTGAAGTGGAAGTTAATTGGGAAGAAGTTGATGATTGGGTGGTTGAAGTTGTCGTTAAAGTGCTGGTAGAGGGTGCTTTCTTCGTTGTCGTTGACGTTGTTGTAATTACAGATTGAAAAGTTGATGTTTTTAACGGTTGTGAATAGTCTTCTTCGTATTCATCCTCATACTGATATTCTGTAAAAATATTAAAAGGAAATATTTATATACTTTTTAATTCAATAAGATACAACTAAGATTTAAAATATTAAAATTACCATCATGAAAACCCCCAACTTCCTTTATGGGTATTGACTGTGTAGACAAACTGTGAGAAATTTTGGGATCGTCTTTCTTTATTTCTTGTATTGGGTCCTCTGTTGAATCGATTGCATCTGGAGATAGACCTTGTAACTTATCATTTGTTGTCGTGGGTGTATCATATACAGAAGGATCCTCCGTACTGGTTTTCGTAGTCTGTTGTGATTGTTCAGTACTTTGAGGTTTAATGGTAATTTTATCTGATTCTATAATGGGAGGCGTCGTGCTGCCATACAATTCTAAATTTAAGCTGTAAAATTTCTCAGATTTCGTGCAATCAACTTCGTCTACTCTTTCACAAACTCTTGTCTCCTAAAAGATTAAAAAGTAGATTTGAATTTAAATGATGTCAGATATTCTTTGTTTGCAAAATTGAAAGTTAATGTTTTTATTCGTGGTAGAGCCACGCTGCAATTATATTAGTAGTATAGTTGTAGCACGAATGGGTCAGCTCAACCGGAGACGGACCACGTTCTCACAGAATAACAGCGTAAAATAGTAACTGAATGCTGCTGTGTTTCGTATGGTGAGTGTAGAGAACCGGAGACCCTTTTTACTGAAAACGAGGCATTCCATCTTTGTCCTCACGGGTGACAACGCGTCTGTATTTTGATTCGTAATTGAGGATAGATGTAGAAGTCTATGAGCCACAGCAACCACGTACCATCAAGTGGACTGTGTGCTCGTTTGTCACCCTATTCCATAAAAAATACAATTAACAAAATATTTTGTCTGATTCGTGAGGGTGCTTTAAGATATCGTGAAATTGTGTCACAATAAATAAAATAAAGTTTAATTAAAAATGGGAAACTAATGTAGCAATTCATGCGGCGCAGATGGCCGTTGTGAAACAACAGTACCATCATATTACGGTCAAACATACGACTCCGACGACAATCTTGCTCAATTGAATCTTGCTAATTTTAAAGCAAATAATTGCAGTTAAAATATCTATTTTAAGCAATAATGACAGTTTTTTTATCAATGACATGATGTTTATTTTTATTGTAATATCATTACAGTGCCTATGTACCCTTTTCGAATCGGACAGAATTTCTTGTATATATAAATACCTGATCAAAAACAGTGCCGTTAAGACAAAGGAACTTGATATCCATAGGTTCGTCTTGCTGACCGACCGTGCACACGTGGAACATTTGGCATGATGTCTCCAAGTCAGCGTAATATCCTCCGATTACTTTGCCAGCACAAGTGAAGTTTGTTTCTGGCAGATTGTCGAAGTCCAAGTACTAAAAATTTTAAATAAACGAAATGAGTTTTGAAACCTGAGGCATAAGAATAATAAATATTTGTATAAAAGTTTCCTTCCCAAAAAAGTCCCAAAAACCACCATATAACGTGTAGCTATAATAACCTATTCATCTCTTCTCAATGCTCACTAAAGCTGCTAGAATTGTTTTTTTAATATTTTAACGTTATTCTGTTAATTAGTGTTTATTTAAACCGTGTAGTGGATGTGTATAAATATCCACTACCCCATATTGTCCCGCGGGTGCTGTAAGAGGGGATGGACGGTAAATAAACCGGGAGATTAGTATCTGCCTCTTCCTATTAACAACTAGAAAAGAAAAAAAAAAAAATACTGGTGCCAGCCCGCCCGTCAAGAGTAATATGAGGAATAATATGAGAATTAATGTGTCCATCAGTAGGCTTTTGATAGTCTGTGACGGTTATGGTCTATGGACCAACCGCAATCGTCTGTACCTAGTTGTAATCGACTAAGCCGGCACTTCGGCTTTTAGACGTAATAAATATAAAGAGCTATTCTAATGGAATACTATTATTTTAGGTAGCAAGGCTTATACCCATTTATGGAATATCTACAAAATTCATACCGACGATGATTTATTGCTCTACAATTTAAAATAAGTGCACAGATCATTTCGATACTCTTTTGAGGTGTCGTGTGGGTAAGTATATTAGAGACGGTCCAAAATTGTATAAAGCGTAGGCCTGGTTTTGTACAAGTAGGGAAATAAATTAAAATAAAATATTATACCACTTTTGGTCATTCAAATCCACGAATTTGCCTTTATTTCAGTGGTATTAATTTTTTATTCTTACCAAAAACTGTAACACTAATGGCGAAAAGTAGAAATGTTAATATATTATAGTAAAAAAACTTACGCCTGGTTGAATGGACCTTGATATTCTAAATTCGTTCTGGAATACAAAGATCAGCAACCATAGCCATACTGAAATTGAAAATAAAATTCATGGTAAGAATTATGCTTAAAGTAGTGCTAAATGGGTTTAGTTATAGGTATTAATATTTCTGAAAGATTTATAGATATTATAATTTTAAGTAGATTCAACTGCTGCCCATAGGAGAGATTTTTGTAACTATAAAAATAAAAAAGATTTCTTTAGTAACCTGTAAAAGTTAACATTCATGCTATCTGACTATCCTTTCTTATCTTATAATTAGAATAAATAGTTAATCTTGTATGGTGACATAGAAAAGTACATCTATTACTTAGTGTATTTCGTGTCATAAAAGTCTCGTAGCTAACGATAAATAGCCGAACTGAAAAAAATAACTTTAATGTTCCGATCGGTTTTACTAAGTAACTAATTTGCTATGGACTCACTCTGTGATTGTCGGTCTGTTGGTATGACGATTATTGCATATTCTTGAAACTTTGCATACCCATATATTGCAGGGACTGTTCCGAAGTTCATGGCGATTATGATGACGGGTATAATTAAAAATAAAGTTTATAAAAGAACGTCACTAGGTCGTACAGTAGTAGTAATAAAAGGATACTTAAAGTTATTCGAAAATAAAGATTTTAAATTGTCCTTTTTAGTAAAAAGTTTATACCTTGTAGAGCTGAAGCGGAACGCACAACAAGCGCGTCTCCAACTGAGATCCGAGCCTGCCGCCGCATCTGAAATAGAGAATGTTATATTGTAATAAAAATGTTTTAGGATATAGAGTAGAGTTCAAAATTGTGGGCGGCTACGAAGTTTCAATCACAGCATTTTTCGTATAAAAGATGTGTCAAAAGTCAGTAGTCTGGATGACCTTTTTACCGTCTGGAAAAGAATAGGATGTAACATGTGAATGGAATAGAAGCCTATAGCACTAACATTTTACAAAAAATAAAAACAAAAATTTTGAATAATATAAACAAATTAATTAAAATCTGTGGTAATTCAAATCTTATCCATCCTACTTTACGAACGGCATCTTGACCTTGTCATTTCGCAGTTCGAATTTCGATAGATTTTAATTAATTTATTTATTTACTTCAAAATTTTTGTTTTTATTCTTTGTAAAATACTAGTACCCATAGGCTTCTACTACGTTCACATGTTATACACTATTTTTTCCAGATGGTAAAAAACATCATCCAGTATAGTTAGTGCATCAATATAAAAAGAAGTTTTTAAATATATGGCTCCGTGGCGCAGTGGCTTAATATTGAGTTACAGCGGTAAGGGCCGCGGGTTCGAATCCCGCACGGAACAAGAATTTGAACGGCCTACAAGTAATTGTTCCGGGTTTGGATGTTTGTCCTTGTGAAATTTATGATTGTAAACTGCCCCCACAATACAGGCGAAAATCCTAGTGTCGAGGTAACGTTTAAAAAAAAAAACAAAAAAAAAATTAAGCAGAATAAAACCTTTATTTGACCTTTTAACCAAATTGCAGTACTTGCAGTGCCGTGTCGTAGTCTGAAGTCTCTGAACGACTGAGAGACGCTGAACTCTTTTTATCTATTCGGTGCGAAACAATTCAATACCTAGGTATTCACGCTCACTCTACTCTTCCCTTTATAATATATAATGTATGTATTATATTGTATATATACACATATACAATTTAATATATACATTATATATTATCATTCTTAATATTGTTTAATTAGGAATGATAATACATATGTATATACATTGAAATTGAATGACAGACGACTTTAAAATAAATTTGTCGGTACGATTCACGCACCACCTACTGTAAGTTAATTGTACCTACTACGCCTATAACCTTTGCGCAAGTGCAAGCAATACGTTGAATAAGTTTAAGTACAATGTACGGTATGGCAGCGCATAAAATACGAACAAAAAACATAAATTTTTATATATTATATGAAATGTATAAATGTATTATATCATATATTTGATTTTATTATATAAGTCGATAAGTTATATCAAACACTGATAGGTTAGAACGAGTGTAAGTGTAAGCCATTTGTTGTACTATAAAAAATTCTTGCGCAATTGAGAGTTTCCGAGAGTGTTCAGTAATAATTGCCACCGTGGCTAAAATCGGTTAAAAGTAAATCATCTTTCGGAAATAGCAGCACAGTATTTGATGAGCCATTACAAAAAAGTACCTAAGAAATATTAACTTAGATTACATTATAATAGCAGGTTACAATAAAGCAACGGCGGGCAATGAAATGAGTCGTTCTATTCGCACGAGCATCATGGTTTAACAATGAAGTTTCGACATTTACAATTAACCATGTACTATGAATTGTTCCGATAAGGTTCATCTAAAATTATGCACTGATACATTTATTAAATGAAAGGAAATATGCCCCGCTCCTTAATAATTCAAGATTTAGAAAAATCTTAAGGAAGAATCACTTCTTCCGTAATTTTGTTTCGTTTGTAAAAGAATGTTTGTAAACATTTATACGTAGAGCCATGCTGCACATACATTAGTAGTATAGTTATAGCACGAAATGGTCGGCTCGATCGAGGAAGGACCACACTCTCACAGAATATCAGCGTAAAATAGTAGCTTAATGCTGCTGGGTTTCGTATGGTGAGTGTAGAGAACTGGTGACCCTTTTTACTGGAAACGAGACATTACATGTTAGTCCTCATGGGTGACAACGCAACTGCATTTTAATTCGTAATCGAGGATGGATGTAGATGTCTATGGACCACAGCAACCACACTTATCATCAGGTGGACTGTGTGCTCGTTTGTCACCCTATCCTATAATTTTTTTAAAAATAGAGTATATATTATTTCCTTTACAGTTACTAGCTTGATTCTTGACTTGATCGAGATCGACTGACGTTGTTCTGCCCTCTCCGGCAGGTGGCATGATGAGTTTACTCTGAATCTACTCCTGACTTACTCGACCACAGTATCGCCATTTGTGTTGTAATTTTGTGATTTGACTAAAGAGTAGCCTGTCGGATTATAGTATAGCTATGAACCAGCGTCTCGACGGGATAAATATACTGTGAATACGATCTCAAGGCTCAATTCTCGGCCCCTTTCTGTTTCTTGTATATATTAATGACTTACTTATCATAGTTGGCGATAACCATGATATAGTATTATTTGCTGATGATCATTAATTTTTAAATTAAAACGACAATTATTAGAATATTTGGAAGTAAATAATATTATAACTAAATTTGTAAATTGGTTTAATGTTAATAATTTGCATTTAAAGGGCATTAAAACTAAATATATAAAACTCGTAACTCCAAATGTCAAACATCTAAATACTGCTCCACATCTTTTGGGGGTGGGGGTGCATAATCTCACTATCTACTAATACTGCACGGAGCAAACCATAAAAACGCTGCAACTCTGACCACGCTATTATCAGACGCACTAATGATTAAATAGACAGCTAATTTCAGCGAGAACTAGTCATCTGTAAGAGCAAAGGAAAGGAGAAACACGAGGTCCAAGAAAACTGCAAAGAACAATAGTGTCATTGAGCCTGTAGCCGCTTTGCCCCTCACCAACTCATTATAAAAATATGGCATTGTGAGCATTGAAGTTTATCTATAAATAAAACGATTTGTTAACATATTATGATAGACATATTTTTATGGAGATTACCAACCATTGACTAATAACATTAAAGTACGTTTGCAATACGGGATGAATCTTGTTGCTAGGTACGCGTTAGTTGCCGCCATACACTGGCTCAGAGTATAAAAGTAACTATATTTACGCTGGCACCTTCAATAAGTCCTTGCTGTCAGCTGCCGCTCATTCTCAAATAATTATTATTGAATTATATTTGCCACTTATAGCGTTTCTACCTACAGAAATGGAATCAATACGAAACTGCACTATTTTGAAACCTAACTTTATAACAAAAATAAAATACTTTGTTGTTAAATAATTTTAAAGGAAACTTAACTGATATAAAAACTTGTTTGTTTAAATACCTCTAGTTTGTACCCGATTTGAAAATAGAAAAATAAGCGCTCGAATTGGCAATAAATTAACGACCCTAGTACCTATGATGGTAAGAAAGCCTATGTTCAGCAATGGACTTTCGATAGGGTATTACGGTAATGGTTAAAAAAGTAAATTTTATTAGTGAGCAGAGACAGTGAGTTCTACCTATCTTACGAATAATTAATATTTATCTGTATGACTGTGTTTACCTACAATCACTGAAGACAATCATAAAGCAATGATTATGTTTATCTATTTTAATTCACCAAGAATGTTTTCAACAGCTAGCATTTTAGTATATTGGTCATCCAGATACCCTCCTATCACGTTATGTACAAGGCGTATTGAGGGTTTTCATTCTATACTTGTATTCCAAGCATTCCCGCTAAAGAAAAAAATTAACACTTGTAATTATCATCGTGTCGTGTATGTTTTAATGTTATAAACATCAAAAAATTTACGTGATAAATAAGTTATACTTATTTTTCTAAGCTTGTAATTTCTTTCATAAAGAACATTTTATTTAGAGCACCTGAGAGCGATTACTGCTACATCATCTCTAAATGTTCTTCAGTCAAAAACATTGATAGAAATCACCAGGTGGACGGTCTGGTCAATATGGAGGATACTCAAGTACTTCAAAATTCTTTCGAATTGCTATTATGCAACGGTGGACTTGCGTGCCAGAACGTTATCTTAGTTTTGTATAGGATGGGGTGACTAACGAGCACACAGTCCACATGATGGTAGGCGGTTATTGTGGCCCATAGATATCTACATCTATCCTCACATATCAATCAAAACGCAGATGCGTTGTTGATGAGATATATATGACTGCCTCGTTGGTCTAGTGGTTGTATTAGTGCGACTACTGATCATGAGGTCCTGGGTTCAAATCCCAGGTCGGGCCAATCAATGAATCTCAAATCAAAAAAAAATCAATGATTGAATTTTTCCGTCAAGAAATTCTCAGTTGCTGCTCGGAGTCAGGAAGTTGGCGGTGTCTTACCCCCGCTCAAAACACTAAGCCGTTGGTCCTGCACCTGATCTCTCTCCGGTCGTGTCGGTTTACTTTCCCATCGGATTATGAGAGTGAGGGAATAGAGAGTGCACCAGTGCTTACGCATACACTTGGGCACTATAATCCTGTCCTGCGCCGATGGCTAGTCTCCATTGAGGCTGGCCGCCGTGACCAAAAGTAGGACATTATTATTATTATTATTATATATATATATATATATATATATATATATATATATATATATATATATATATATATATTTATTTATAATACGACATATCGATCTCTAAGTCGAAGTTGGACCTTGCCTACGGATAACTTGTTCTAGGTAAATATAATCGATAATAGTGTTGGCAATTACTAGTCTTATAGGTGTGATATGGACTTTACACATGACTTTTGTCTTGTCCATGTTCATTTTACGACTTATCTGTTGTGAGACACTCTTAAGGTGATTGACCATAATGCTGAAGTTCTGGAATGATTCTGCCATAATTACTCTATGGTTGGCAAATTGAAGGTGAGTGATGTGCTCGCTATTGATGTAAGTATCGTACCCTTTTCAATCCAGTACTTTGAAAACATTCACAAATACAGCGGTAAAGTGTATCTGTTATATAACGTCACTAGCCGATCATACGACCTACTGTACGAACATTTCAGCTTTTCAATATAGCGACTGTCAACTTGGCACTGCTG